TCGTGCTACTGTAGTAACTGGAGTGTTTTTGGGTTATATATACCTAATATTATCATTAGTAGCAATCATTGGTTATTAGGTATAATTCATAAAACAGTTATTAGTAATAGTATACTAATTGATAACAGAGCCTTACTACAGCTGAACTTTAAACAATGCGAACGATCTAAAAACGCCTCTTTTTCATTCAACTGTAACGAGAATTTTTCCTTAAAGTGAGATTGTCCTCTAAGTAAAACATTACAGTATTTTAAATTAGATTATTTGAAATACACGTAATTTAAAATACCAATTCTAAGAAAATTAATAATAGATCTGAGCCGCGATGTCTTCGTGTAAAACACTTGTTTGCTAACCTAGATCACCTCGGTTACCAAATGCTATCGGGTGCCCACGCTTAGGGTTCAACGGCCACTCAACCCTTAAGAGTAGCTGACCTGCCGACCAATTCACATTACATGCCGGTGCCAGACGTAAGTCTGCATGTCATTGGTATCTACGGTGCTTTGGGAAAATGAAAATAAAAGTATTGCAGACGTCCTTGTTGTATGGTGGTTTGAAAGTGTAACAGTGACATTGAATAAAACTGTCCAATCACACCTGGAAAATCAGAATGGTGGATTGTAACACAAACAGAAAATAAAAATATCAAATCACATCTGGAAAATCATAAGTCCAATCAGAATGGTGGTTTGTAAATGTAACAGTAACAGTAAATATACGATCACATCTGGAAAATGATCAGCTCAATCAGAATGGTGGTTTTTAAATGTAACAGTAACACTAAATATCCGATCACATCTGGAAAATTATCAGGTCAATCAGAATGGTGGTTTGTAAATGTAACAGTAACAGTAAATATCCGATCACATCTGGAAAATCATCAGCTCAATCAGAATGGTGGTTTGTAAATGTAACAGTATAAGTAAATATCCAATCACATCTGGAAAATCATCAGCTCAATCAGAATGGTGGTTTGTAAATGTAACAGTAACAGTAAATATCCAATCACATCTGGAAAATCATCAGTTCAATCGGAATGTCGGATTGTAGATGTAACAGTAACAGTAAATATCCGATCACATCATCAGCTCAATCAGAATGGTGGTTTGTAAATTTAACAGTATAAGTAAATATCCAATCACATCTGGAAAATCATCAGCCCAATCAGAGCAGAGGTTTGGGAAATCATCAGCCCAATCAGAATAGCGGATTGAAAATGTAACAGTAACAGTAAATATCCAATAACATTTGGAAAATCATCAGCCCAAAAGAATGCTGGTTTGTAAATGTAACTGTAAAATGAAATATCCGATCATGTCTGAAAAAAATCACAAATATGCCTCATTACACAATCATATAAATGCCATAATAACGAGAAGTGGCTCCTTTAAATAACATGTACTTCAAGATCAGTTATCACACCTGCTAACCTAATCATGTTTCTTACCAAGTTTTCTTTTATACGTCGGGCCATTTCTTAGCATTCTGAGTATAAAACGAGGAATCTCAAGAGAATCAAAGCTTCACCCAAAGTCAAAGAGTTAGAATTTTTCCAAATGTTACGACTAGAAGCTTAATTTGAAAACATCTTCAGGAGGCACTAAAAAATTCGATTGAAAATCTTTCAAAAGTCATATGAAACTAAAATATGTAATGAGGTTTTCTTCTTTCATGTTATAAATCTATACGCATTGATTCCCCTCCTGTCAGTGGCGCAAATCGGGGACTGACATGGATAAAGCGAGATTAAGATAATTAAATAACGGAACATAATTTTATGGTATATTAATCCTACAATGCCATCATCAAGTATAATAAAAGAAAGTACACGAATATATTTATAGTTTCACCTGATAATGATATTGTAAATTGTTTAAATATAAAACTCAGGAGTAGTATACCATAACATTGTGTTCCGTTATTTAATTTCATCTAAACGAGTTTTCTTATCGCGATTTTATTGGGTTTTTCTTGTAAGCTTATAGAGGTGAACAATTACATGTCATTACTGGTGAAAGCTGGAGAAATGAGAATACAACTTACCAAAAGTACGGGCCTAGGTCAAAAGCTAAAACTATCGAATTTCAGAGTGCTGATAAGCTCACTCAAGTTTATCAGCACAGTCTTCCTGGCAATTATTAAATAACTGTTCATTATTGGATTGTGTTCCTTCGCAAAGAATACCCCAGAATAACCTGGACACACATCTAGTGGACCATTCCTAAAACAGGATCTAAAGTACTCCACGTTGTGTTCACAGGTTGGTTGGTAGATGATGAGGGTACGTCCGCTTCAGTAGAAGCTGATATTGTTAAGATTAAGTAGTTGATGGTAGTCCTAGTAGTGTGTAGGCTCTGCTGACAAGGGTGTTGTTGGTAATCGTGGTAGTTGGTATATGACAATTTACGTCCGCACCCAGAAGCTGTTTTCGTTCAGATTAAGAAGTTGAATGTAGTCCTACTAGTTGGTAGGATCTGGTTAGTTGGTTGGTTGGTAGATGACAAGTTGTATCCGCTTCCAGCAGTGTCGTGGTAGTTGATGGGATCTGGTTGGTTGTTCTGCTTCCAGCAAAAGCTTATATCACACACCATGTTGTTCTCGGCAGTCCAAGTAGTTTATTGTAGGGTCGGTTGGTTGGTGGATGACGAGTTTATGTCCGCTTCCAGCAGAAGTTGGCGTCACAGACTAGGTAGTTGTTGGCAGTCGTGGTAGTTGGTCATGTAGTAGGATCTGAATCAATTTGGTACTGTTGGTTTGGTACTGTTCACAGATACTTCTCAGGGGTGCTTATACCCAAAGCTGGGAAATATATCTTTATTAACTCCTTTTAAACGAGATCATTATTTCATATACTTGGCCATGGCTCAAACCTGAACAGCTTAACGAAAGAAACGATTTACTGCATCAATAATAATATATAACTAGATATCCATTATCAAAACAACACCAGGTTACCAGTTCTTTTAAATGTTCATTAAATAATTTATATTTCGTCTATTTCAAAAACTTGGAGCCTTGCCTATATAAATATACAGTACATTTAAAAGAAGAAAGGGCGGGAAAGATACGCCAAAATTTGATAGACTTTTGTTTATTTCGCCTAATAACTTGTCTCCCATGTTAACATTGTTAACATAAGCTGAAGGGGTGAGGAGAATGGAGGCGGTGGTAGTAGAAGAACATCTAACCTATTTCTGGCAGCGATAGGTTACTTTTCAGAAAGTGATTGTTGCAATTCCGGAAAGCAATAAATATATTTTCGGACGGCGAAAAACGAAATTTTGGACAGCGATAGACAATATTGGTTATTACATAGAACAGAAAATCACCACCCTAACCAAAAATATAAGACCTTTCACATGCCTTAAATACGCCATTGGTTAAGAATATTCTCATCAGAACGAGACTATGGGAAAAAATTGGTCAGATTACAATGGAGACGAAATATATCAGACAAAAACGACGTTGTAATTTAATTTTGATTGCCTTTGTGGTGGATCGTTTGTAAGAGATAAACCCGGCAAAGTTGGCAGATAGGTCTGGGTTATCTTTAGAATCATCGAAAAACTTTACATACTACATGTATCTTACTATCTCTTTTAGAAAAAAGATATCTTCCATTCCCGTAGATTTCAGATAAATTCATCATAATTATCAGAGATGGGTTATTGTATTTTTGGCAAAAATTCGAATTTGAAAATTTTATTACAAAATATTTTTTTTCATATAAAAGCGGTGAGTACAAATTCAAAAACTTTTCTTCAATTTCAAAGAATGGACATAAAAGTCTCTAACTTGGTCAATAAAATTTCATATTCATCAGTTGGACTTACCAGGTGTAATGACTAAAGAATATAATATCTATATAATACGATATATCCATTAAACTAAGTAATTATTGAAAAACACTTCTAGGAATGTTTCAAAATTCCTCATTTAAATGAATTATTACTTAGTTTTAAGGATTTATTGGATTATAGAGAGATTCTGTTGTATAGTTATGGCACCAGGTAAGTCTACTAATAAACAAAGACTCATTTCGACCAAGTTTTAAACATACAAATTTTTGTCATCCTAAGGGGTAGTATACCTTTGTGCTAAATAATTCATGAAATTAATATAATATAAAGCTCAGCAGAATTCAATTATTACTGTGGCAGGTGCCTGTTACAAAGTAGAACATTTTATGCCATTATCATAGCAGTCGTACCGGCAACACTGTTTTGGATAATTGGCATTCCTTTGGTATAACATATTTTTGATCTGTAATAATTTAATACCGGTTTATAAAAAAAGCCTTATTAAGCTACGAGAATAACCCTTAGTATGTTTCTGGCCACAATATACAATATTATCTGTAGAGTAGAAAATTATATTTCAATCCAATGCAATGGGCTTCAATCTGTATTTGTATGTGTCCCCAAAACATATCAAATGATGTCCTCAGATGAAAAACGATGTCCACAAAGGGAATACGTAAAAATCACTAGTTCTTATATGAGTGGGTGAAATTGAAACCAAAAATGTAATGCAATTTAACAATGTTAGTCACGACTGTGTTGTAGTTGTCATAGGACAGTGTTCCCTTGGAAAAGTGCTTAGAACATGTCCCTGTTGTTGAAAACCTAAGCTTAACCGATTATTCACAACTATATTATGTAGATATCTGCAACAGTGTGTATGTACTTATTAATATTGTTATTACATACTGTTTGTCTTGGAAACGATACTGTGATTACCAGGTTTCACTCGTACGTTAAAGTAATAAGTATGAATGCATCATTTGCATTAACATATTCCAATTTTAAAGAACCATGCAATTCATTCGCTTATCAGCTTAACTTAAAACTTGGTAAACGCAAAAGCATAATTGCGTCTAGAGTTACTTCGGACATTGCTAACGGTTTTTAACAGTGATTCGGGCTCTGTTTTGGAAGTTCAAATCAAAGATTCCGCAAGTCCTTTTGAATTTTGCCACCAGGTCTCCTCCGTCAGCGATGCAGGTCGAGGGTGCTAATATAACAGAACCGCCTAGTTATGAGGATGACGAATATTTAATAAAGACCCCTTGTGCTACAGACCGGGTACGTGACAGATCCCTCAACGGATGGTTATCGTTAGATAAGAAGTATAGAATCGCTACTTTGTCCAAATTTCCCTAATTACACAATGTATGACTTTGTTCGTGTTCCTTATGCAATTGGATGCAGAATGTAGTGCGCCATTTTCTTCATACCTTAGTCTCAAAAAACGGGATTTTTTTAGCTAAGTGTTCACTGTTCACAGCTGACGGTCGTAATTTGAGCCTTCAAATCCATGTGTGTCGAGAATTATCCCCGTTTGGATGTTAAAATAACGACTCGTCATATAATGGCCATATATAGAAATAGTGAGTAAAATTCCCAGATTGAAGTATGTTTAAAGGAGTTATGAGATTTACATATATTTAACATTCCCCCTACCAAATGACGCATCTGTCTCTTTAAGAATAAGAATTGGCGTTAAATTTGACAGGTTGCATAAATATACATAAATCAGAAAATAAACACGTTTATTTAGAAAGTGCAGTTATTTTCGTTTTTACGTTTATGTTATTTATCTATTTGTGTTTGTGTTGTTTTCTGTTTTTATCTTACAGGGCCTATCTCTGTATCTATATATTGTTTATTGCCTGTTTATCACCATAATGTTTCTGTAAAATATCATCTAATGTTATGTTACTACATGTATTAAATCGGTACACATGAGCATGTTTTAGTTAAAGGGGTAGTTTAGTCAGAAATGAATTGATCTGGTTGTATCTTGTATAATTTTGACCTAAATAGTAGTTGCAGGTGTCGCAGACCATGCTTACTCCTTTCGAAACAGATCATGCTTAATCCTTTCGAAACAGATCATGTTTACTCTTTTCGAAACAGCGAGAACAGCGATATAGCCGACTTTTCAAAAACACCAACATGCAATGAATCAAGAATTGAGTACCAAAATTTAGACATTTAAATATGTAACATTCTTGCAAACCAAGTTGCACCAACATTCTAACATTAAAATAGCACCAAGATTCTTGCATTCAAATAGCACCATCATTATGGCATTTAAATAACACCAACATTCTTGCATTCAAATAGGACCAACATTTTTTTATTGGAATAGCACCAACATTCTTAAAACCAAATTGCACCAACATTTCAATATAATAGAAATATTCAAGCATTAAAAGAGAACCAACCATCAACATTCAAGCATTGAAATAGAAGAAACATTTAAGCATTGAAATAGAAGAAACATTTAAGCATTGAAATAGAAGAAACATTTAAGCATTGAAATAGAACAAAAATTCAAGCATTGAAATAGAACAAACATTCAAGCATTAAAATAGAACAAACATTCAAGCATTTTGTAATATAAATGAACATGTCAAGAACACAATAGAAAATACAACTTCAGTATAGAAACGATTATAGCATGCTATTTCGGAAATGTGTTACTTCCGGTTTGTCCGCACGTTGCATTAATGTGCGATACAGGACATGGTGTATTTCAAAGACAGTAGTAGTTTGAAAGCTGGTATTTTTCAGCACAATAGAAAATGCATGGATGATTCTTTTTGCTAAACCAAGAACAAAAAAGTAGGACGTAAAACGCCGTTTAATTTACAGTAAATCAAAACACCCCTTCAAAGAATGGCAAAATTGCGAGTAAAAGTTGTATAGTAGTGGACTCCTACAAAGAAAAGTACCATCAGGTGTTTCGAAAAGAGTAAGCAGGCTCTACTCCGCCCACCATAGAACTAATTTTGATTGAACCAAAATAGTTGTGTTGATGTTTCAAAAGAATTCATCATTCATTCAACAAGATTATATCAAGTTAACCGAGAAATGTGAAGTTTTTATGGATTGGGAAAGATCATTGAGAGGCGTTTTAATCATTTAGACAGAAAAAAATTTGCTTTTTGTTTCTCCTAAACACCAGTCTATATTATGTATTTATAGGAGTCTTTTACAGCTGGTAAGCCGAGTTCCTTTGTTGTTTTGTTTTTTTTTGTGGGGGAGGGGGCATTGCTCTGGCAAGCTAATACCAACAGAGTTTCATCCTGATTTTCAATAATGTAGAGCAGACAGATTGGCATCAAAATGGATTCTAGTCGATTGCATTGAACACTGAAAGAGCTCTGTGTGCTATAGACTGTGAGTTACAGATGCCTCGATAGTTGGAAAACGAGCATGGACTAATAGCTATCTTTGCACATTGCACGGTGTTCTTTGTCCGACTTAAATACTAATGATCACTGTTTCATGGTGGCGTTTTGATGAGATGAAATTTCTAGACTATCATGGTGTAATGCTAGTAAATTTCCATTGAACTGTGAATTGAATTTTTTCTCTCATTTCATAAATATTCAAAATAAAATTTTCAATCGTATGCCATTTCTCTTCTTCAGGTCCATAGAAATATAAGGTTCAGTGATTTTACATTTAAAATAGACACACTTTCCTCGTAAAAAATTCACGTGAATATTGACAACTTTTCTGACTGAAAATTCCTCTCCTCCTTATATTGTTTTTCAGTGGTTAACATTGTCGTCAACCCAAATACAATCTTAGACTCTCGGTAGTAATTTGTAGATGATATTTCAATTCATATGAAAATAATTACCAATATTCAATTCAAAACTCTGTGTGTATTCAGAGAGTAGTAATAATCTATTTTGTAGCCATCAGAAGAATAAATTAAATACCAAAACGTGTCAGAAGCTATGAATATTATTATTAACAAAAGCATGCAATAAGAGAATATAATAAATGAATCCGATTGCTGTGACAAATAAGGGTGGTTTGTTTTCCAAACTAACTAATATATCCAGGATGCATTTGACGTTGTTGCATCATTTAAAAACACATGGCCATCTGTTCAATAAGTTCGTCCACTATGCTTTTTTTAGCAACCTTAATTTCTTGAACCAGATGAACAGAATTGCTTACTAGTCGTGGTGAGGCTTGTGCATCCAAATCAATTTCTGGCAGGCATTTAACTAGTCAACGTGAGGATTGTGTATCCAAATCAAATTTTGGCAGGCATTTAACTAGTCAACGTGAGGATTGTGTATCCAAATCAAATTCTGGCAGGCATTTAACTAGTCAACGTGAGGATTGTGTATCCAAATCAAATTTTGGCAGGCATTTAACTAGTCAACGTGAGGATTGTGTATCCAAATCAAATTGGCTGGCAGTTAACTAGTTATGGTGAGGATAGTGTTTCCGGAACAAATTTTGGCTGGCAGTTAACTAGTCAAGGTGAGGATTGTGTATCCAAATCAAATTTTGGCTAGCAGCTAACTAGCCATGGTGAGGATTGTGTATCCCAAACAAATTTTGGCTGGCAGTTAACTAGTTATGGTGAGGATTGTATATCCCTAACAAATTTTGGCTGGCAGTTGACTAGTCAATGTGAGGATTGTGTATCCGAAACAAATTGTGGGTGGCATTTAACTAGTCAAGGTGAGGATTGTGTATCCCAAACAAATTGTGGGTGGCATTTAACTAGTCAAGGTGAGGATTGTGTATCCCAAACAAATTGTGGCTGGCATTTAACTAGTCAAGGTGAGGATTTTGTATCCCAAACAAATTGTGGCTGGCAGTTGACTAGTCAATGTGAGGATTGTGTATCCGAAACAAATTGTGGCTGGCAGTTAACTAGTCAAGGTGAGGATTGTGTATCCCAAACAAATTGTGGCTGGCATTTAACTAGTCAAGGTGAGGATTGTGTATCCCAAACAAATTGTGGCTGGCATTTAACTAGTCAAGGTGAGGATTGTGTATCCCAAACAAATTGTGGCTGGCATTTAACTAGTCAATGTAAGGATTGTGTATCCCAAACAAATTGTGGCTGGCAGTTAACTAGTCAAGGTGAGGATTGTTTATCCCAAACAAATTGTGGCTGGCAGTTAACTAGATAAACAATTACGAAATATCCAGATGACGGGTTCAGTTGATTCGTATTTTACTTTTTCACTAATGTGTGGGTTTGCAAAACTAGTTCGCCGATCGTTACAGTTCAACCATTTAATTATCTCTAATATGCTATATAAGCATAGTCTATGATGGAATTTCATTGCCGTCATGATGCTTAAAATTGCCTTTTTGATTGTCTGTATTGCTCTGGACAGCTTGTTAGCTGCTGGTAAGTTCAAGGTTTATACATTACGTCCGACAAATCTGGCCCTACCCGTTCCTCGGACGTGATATACGGATGTGACCGTTTGAGTATGGACATAACAGTGACGATATTACACCCATACGTCCAAGGAACGGATAGGGTTATATTTGTTTATGAATTACTTTGGCTGGTATCTTTTGAACATTCAACGTGGACTGAGCTGAACTGATGATTCAAAATAAATGAAATGAATGGAGTTTTACGTCCTACTTTTCTGCACCGCATGGGCTAATGAAAACGGGCAACGCCATGCAGGGTACAATGAGGGACTATTTGCCAGGACAGCGGTTTCCAACTTTCGAGGGATCTTTAACGTGCATAGCTTGTAGCGCATGGGGCATCGGTTTATTGTCCCAACGATTAGAAGCTTTTTCCATGTCAGTCCCTCTTACCTACATCACTGACACTGGGAAACTGGATTGAAAAAAGCCGAAGGCATTGTCTCGACTCATGCCGGGATTGAACCCCGGAGCTTCAGGTAAGCGGGTAGAAAAACGAAGCTGAGCATAAGAAATGTTCTGTGGCTTTCGACCATGTTATCTCTTTTATATCCATTCTGAATTAAGCAGATTTTGCCTACTTGTGGACTTCGACTTTTTGATTCGGAAAGGTAAATGTTGGTTTTCTTCTCGTGATTAAGCTTTATGTTCTTTATTTTGTGAGGTTCTGTAGCACAGTCGGTTAGAGCGTTGGTTCTTTACATGACGTCATTTGCTTGGTTACCCGAACAAATGTCGGCTGTGGGTTCCGATGGCGATCGGCGTATGAGAGCCTAATGACTTTGAATTAGTCATCTTCACTTATAATTCCAGCCAACCCAATTGTAAATAGGTGCGGATAATCTGGGAAAGCTCAATGCCAAGGGGTTTGGCTTGGGACCAGCAGGTAGAAAGGATCCTTAACTGTGAACTCAAGTTGTTATCCTTGGAAAATACACAGAGTTTAGTAGTTGTTTTTTTTTCTTTCTTATAGATGAATGTGGGACATACAGTGAATCACAGAAGTTTCTGCTGTCTCAACCGGGTTATAGATCATATAGAAAGAAATTCAAAGACTTCAATTCGGAAAATGAGTGCAAGGAGGCCTGCAGCAAGGATCCGAATTGCAGTAGAATGGACAAGTATAGTTCCCGATTTAATTCATGCTACTTGATATATGGCTTAATGGCCGTTCCTGCGAAGGTATACACCCTTGACGAATGCAAGACTAAATGCAAAGCTCAAACCAGTCCGAAATGAATGGCGATTATATACCAGGGCGGTGTGGTCCGGAAATGCGAAATGTTCATGAAAAAAATCGATGCAACATATTTGACAACAACTAATGGACCCGTATCCTACACATATTTAGATTGTTAATAAATCATTCATTCATTGTTGTTTATTTTCTGACATTCCCAAAGACCCACCACCAATCCCCACCCCCTTACATTTCATCTACTGAATTTAAATGCCACCCTTATGAAATTTCTCTTCATAGCGCAGTGAATGTTTGCCTGTTTTAACTAACACCCAATTTATTAGTCGGACACTAAAATTGGTCACCTTTCCCAGTATGTTAATGTTTGGTAGCTTAGACCACCCAGATGGTCACAGTTGGCCAATTTCTCAATATGAGAGTTGGTCTATTGTTAGCCGACTAGGCGGCGATCTTGACCAGCTATGAGCATTTAGAAAAGGATCATGTCATGCCATAAGGCGGCAATCCTGAACCGCTATGAAAATTGGTAAAACCGGATCAGGTCATTCGATACGGTGGCGATCTTGACCCGCTATGAAAATTGGTGAACCGGATCAGGTCGTGTGTTACGGTGGGGAAAATGATCTACTATGAAAATTGGTGAACCGGACAACTTTGAACAAATCCATTAGCATAATTCCATAACATTATGGTTATTTTTACTTAGGTTTTGTTCATTTAATTAGCATTGATTGGAACGAGACCATATGGTGATGAATTTAATACTTTCAACTTTATCAGTTGGTACCGGGTTTTGAGCCTCATAAACGCACATCTATAGCAAGCATGATTTTTTTTAGATACTCGAACAAAGATTTTTGAGGGTGGGTTCCCAAGTTGCAGAATCAGAATCTGAATTTAAAGTCATAAGGATAAACCTACTCAATCAACAATTTGAACCATCTACACAACAGTGTGCAGTTTGGTTCGCAAAAATGGTTATTTATAGTTTAGACTACTAAACTACTCCAAACTTCGCTGTTTTTTTTGTTTTTTTTGTTTTTTTTTATTTTGAAAAAGCCTGTTTTTTAAAACAGAATATAAAGCTGTTTGTGTAAGATCTAAAGAAATTGTTGTTCAGCTCGAGTTCTATGTCACCAAGACATCAACCAATTTGATGCACTGTCTGTGGCCAGTATATTTAATCCGTGTTTGATGGCGCAACATAAATTACAGCAGTGTGACCTACCACGATGTTGGGAAAACTTCTTGAGATCACGGATGACTAGTGTTAGTAGCGGCGACCCTAGATCTGCATATTACTCATGGTGTATCATACGCGTTACTTTAATTTTAGGTTAAAAGAAACTACGACTAGGCTACTTTAAAAACATATGCCACCTTTGAATTATTTAAAGTTAATGGATTTTAGATAGTTATTAAGTGTGGCGCATCTGATGCAGACATTTACATTTTGAATGAAATTAAGTTAGACCGCCTTATTTTCCTAGATCTTACCCCTAGAATGGGTATTGGAAACGAGCAACACGTAGCTGTAGCTGTTTTCCGAACGACAAGACGCCTTTTTTGTCAATCTCAACATCTGACCCGCATCACTGACAGGTGGAAAACAATCAAAACATGCCGGGATTGAACATCGGTCTGATTAAAATTAGACCAAACTTTTGTTTTCATGAGCTTTTATTTGTAATATAGCCACTTCAGTTAGGGTCTAACTACAGCCCCCTCCAACCTTCGACAAATCGATCAATGATCTTTAGAACACACAGCAAGCGTCACACTCAATGTACGACCACCTCGAACGAGATGAACTTGAGACTACAATATAATACACTTCAATGTTAATGGATTTTAGATAGTTATTAAGTGTGGCGCATCTGATGCAGACATTCACATTTTGAATGAAATTAAGTTAGACCGCCTTATTTTCCTAGATCTTACCCCTAGAATGGGTATTGGAAACGAGCAACACGTAGCTGTAGCTGTTTTCCGAACGACAAGACGCCTTTTTTGTCAATCTCAACATCTGACCCGCATCACTGACAGGTGGAAAACAATCAAAACATGCCGGGATTGAACATCAGTCTGATTAAAATTAGACCAAACTTTTGTTCAAATGAGCAACTACAGCCCCCTCCAACCTTCGACAAATCGATCAATGATCTTTAGAACACACAGCAAGCGTCACGTCACACTCAATGTACGACCACCTCGAACGAGATGAACTTGAGACTACAATATAATACACTTCAATGTTTAGCAAATCTGTCACAAACGGCATTTTGGAGCGACATTCCACACGAAGTTTGAGGAAATGCATCAAGACATCTTAGACAATTTCTGTACAAATTCGATATGAATTCATATCCAACTGCCGTGTGTAGACAGAGTACCGCTGCTGTTAGAAATACAAGTATACCCTCGGATCAAAGAAAATTTTCTGTCGAGGAACACCATTTACTTTTTCTTTTCAGACGCCACATTTGTCAAAGAGACCAAATAGTCATGCGACCTGTACGACGACCACAGACGTTCTGTCGACCACATTATCAAAGAATGATAATGCCTTGTCCGAACAATAGTAATCAATTATGTAACACTTTTAGGTGAGTATATGGGCAAGAGTTTGTTCCATTGATCATGTTCCATTGCAAAATACTACTTGCATTTTTTTTTTTAAATGTATGTATAGCAATGCTAGATTTTACTTATCTGTGTGGAATTTTATTCCGAAATAAACAATAATAGTGTTCTTGATACATTCATAGAGTTGCGGCGGAGATGGAGGTACACCCTAGATCCCCAACCCACTGTTCCGAGAAAAAAATACCCCCAACTCATTCCTAAGGCTATTCAAATATGACCGCACAGATGTTCGGCTCTTCCCAATATGGAATCTCAACCCCAACAGTCTACCCCATATTAAAACACCCAGAAGAATTTAGCAAGAAATAGCTTTCGGTCTTTGTTTTTATGTCCGCGGATTATTCCTTCTCTTTAGATTCCGGTGCAGAATAGCTCAACGCTCCGTCCTCCACATGGTACCACAGCGTGAACAATCATATTCCTGCTGTCCTGGTTGGGCAGGTTACTCTCCCAGATATAGAGGATGTATGAATCGTAAGTACGCTTACTCTTCTAGATACCCATCTTCCGATGTCAAGCTATTCAGAACTTCGTCTGATACCTTGACTGCAATATCCACGTTTTCAGTATTACGGAAGTTTGTAAAGCAGCGATTTGGTTGGATTGTACATTAGCAAATACAGCCAATCAGCAGTAAGTCTGGCTTTGTAGTCTGATTGTCAAGGGCTATGATTTACTGTATTCCCTTAATTTCGTAATACACGGAAGGTGGCTATTGCAGTCAAGGTATAAGACACGTCATAGCTTGACATTTTGAAGATTCTAGACACCTGATAACCATAACATACAATGATGATACATTAGATGAAAAGTTCATGAGATGCTACCAATGTACTTGTTATTTTGGGTTTTGTTTTGCGGATCGGATCTTTAGTAATTGTTATCTTTTTTTATTATTTAAATCAAGTATCATAAATTGATTAATTCAAGTAATTTTCGTATATCAAATGAGTTGGCTTATTGATTAAATTGACAATTTTCTTGATCACCTATAGAAATGGTGTATTTGTAAGAAAATTTATTGGACCAAGTACTAAACCAAATATTTTAAGTATTTACTATTCCAGCTGTATGTGAAAGAAAGTGTGAAAATGGTGGACATTGTTCCAAACCCGGTCAATGTTCGTGTCCTAATGGATGGTCTGGGGATTGCTGTCAAAACGGTAAGTGTCCTCAGTAAATACCTTAAGCTTAAAAAGGTAAATCCTGAAGTATCAAGACAAAATTTGTTAGTGCTGTAGGCTACTTACTGGTTAGTAGTCGAAGGAAGGATTAACGGCTGATCAGAAATTTCACAGGGAATGCAGTCTTGGTGTCAAAACCCAGGTTCACCAAACAATTTCTATAATTCAAATATTTCTGCTCATCGGTGTCCGAATAGATGCTATAGCTGGTACTTTTGAAACGTCTCAAAAATGATAAAGGGGGCGGGGTAAATTAATCGAAATAATCGATTATCGTCGCTAGTAATTTACTCTTTCGATTATCAAATTTCATAAGCGATTATATCCCAAAGTAACATATTCTCCACTGTATCGTTAACAAGTGGTAATCTCTTCCACATAGTTTCCTTTGAGCACATAACATACCCACAATAAACTATAATAACTGATCAAAGAAAGAATATACTCCTATGATGCAAAAATAACCCACGAAATTGAGAATTTTGGTATGTTTATAATTTAGTATTTACATGGTTTCTCAATAGGATTATGTCGATTATTAATCGATTAATCGATCTCAATTTGGTAATCGACATCCCCACCCCCAAGCCCTAATTATAAACCCCATAAAACAATTTTCAAGTATATATACAATATCCAAATTATTTCAGATACCAATGAATGTAAAGGGGAACATGAATGTCAACAGGTGTGTAATAATAGACCAGGTGGTTATAATTGTTCATGTTTTGATGGCTTTACCTTACAGAGTGACCAGAAATCATGCCAATGTAAGTTTTAATCTGTTGCTGATTGAAGAAAAATGCTTTGTCTTCATCTGCTTGAAAACGTCTGATCGAAGATCTCCAAAACTGCCGTCCTATACAAATGTAAATCCTCAAAAAATTGATGAATCTTGCAGTCAAATGATGAAATTAAATTTTTGAAAGCGAACCCCATTTTTTAACATTCAAAGAAATTGTGTTTTCAGTTTGTTTGACCTGTTCTAATGAATACAGAAATTTGGAAGTAGAAAATAGAAGATTAAAAACAGAAATCGATTCTATGGAATCACAGATGGTAGGATATTTTAATAGTTTGATCAGACCCGAAAGAGTTACTTCCCATTCTAGTTGTATCGGTTGTAAATCAGAACCTGTGTAACTCATTTTACTGTACCAAATATGTTACTTCTGATGACGAATCTCCAGGTGGTTTTAGGGGTCTTCATTATCCCTTCGCTAATAATATTTTAGAAATTAGACATTGCACTGTACCAAATGTGTAACTTCTGATGCCGATGGTACACGTGGTTGTATGGGTCTTCACCTTCACTCCAATTATTTATTTTAGATTATGGAGTCCTACCTTCTTCCTATTGCTCTTGAAGACACTTATTTCAGTCAGCCCTACCGACTGCCACTGTCATGGTGAAATGGCTCTAAAAAGTCGACGTACACAAGAAGGCCGAACCATGGAGCACATGGACATACCTTAATAATTAAGCCATCCATACCATGTATAGGCTTATACATTTCGGCATTCTGGTTACATCAGATATTTCATTCGTCTTGCCAAAACTTGTCTCATACCAGTCGTACTTTTCTGGTATGTTTGACTCAAGAGCCAAAAAACGCTTTAGATAAAATTAATTACGAATTCTCTATCTTTAACAGAGTTTATTGAACAGAACAGTAAGTTCTGTTACAGAGAAACTGACAAGGCTTAGTCAAACTGTTTACCTTGAAGATCGAACCAAAATAGCTAATAATGCTCACAACACCGACGTTCAAGATGCGTTGGTGACTTTGAGCGAACGAGTCGGAGAGTTAGAAGAATCCAATGGAAATTGTAAGTTCAATAACTTGAATGATTGCTTATTAAGCTTCAGGAATAGTGGCCGTGCCAGCCTCCCGAAACCGGGGGTACAAATAGGGGAAGATTGACTTTATGGGGGGACAACTGTCGAGGTTGAACTCAAAATGTGGTAGCGAATTTCCCATGCAGAAAAAAATTTTGAAAAATATTTACTAATTTGGTGTATTTTGACACCTATTTTTTTGGTAAAAACATAATAAAATTGTTTCTTTACTTGAGAGTAAAAAAATCTTTGATTTTTTGTGAAAGTGAAGTAGGCGGTACAAACAACAAACCCCCACCCCTTGTTACTCCATTGGCGCCGCCACTATCAACAAACTCAGTAGCAGTAAGGCTTGTTTATTTTTTGACATTATGCCAATGCTAGACCGTTTCAATCCCAAGACCGATGGATGGAAGTAAGAATAATCTTCTACATCCGTTGTAACCTTGAGCTTCTTCTTCATAAAAACCTTCCAATGTTTATCATGGTTTGACGGCGAAAACCAAGGTATTATCTTGACCTATGGCGGAACCTCAGATTAGCGAGCAATGGATGTAAGAATAATCTTCTACATCCGTTGTGGCTGATTTTAAGAATGACCCAAAGGGCTATATTGTTTACATCAGCCATGAATTTATTAAGATAAAAATATGAAAGTGCTTTCAAGGGAGATAATAACATAAATATTTCTTCTTTGTAAAATGTGTATGTGTATCCAGTGTTCACATGTTCTTAAAGTATTTCATGATGGGTGCCTTTTTTGCAGGTTTTTGCTCTTCCGAAATAGCTCGAGCTCAAAACGATGTTTATAAAGAGTTTAAAAGAATGGAGAAAGATTTGGATACTAGAATCAGTTTACTGGAATTTGAACAGATTGAGCCTCCACCGTCGTTTAGACCACCGTGGATCGATCCAACTGTTTTTACACCTAGCGAAAATGTTGAATCTAAAAAACCTGCGTCGCCTTAAAAAGCACGGATGATAAATATATTGTGACTTGTTTCAGCTTTGAAATATATTGGACATCTCGATGCTTTTCCACTTGCATTACGGACCATATCTTCGCAATGCCAAGCTATTACGAACTGCGACCAATACCTTGACTTCATTGGGCTCTTTTCTCGTATCACGAAATGCATCACTTTGATTGCAGTGAAGCGAATGCGAATACAAAATCCCTCGACTTGTGGTTTTACAGAATTTCTATCGAGGGTTCTGATTGGCTGTATTCGCTGGCGTACAATCCAATCAAATAGCTGCCCTTACAAAAATTTTTGTGATACAAGAAAGGTGGGTTTAGCGGTCAAGGTAGAAGACGTAGTTTGCAATAGCTTGACATTATGAAGATGTATTGACCAGTGGAATGATGTTTTGGGCATCATGGCAGGACTGAATAACAAGCACCATGGTTCAAACTGTCTTTCAGTTTTGTGATTAGTAATCTATATGTGTGTTTAGTTGACAGGTTTTAATGTCTGTATCGTGTCGTGTATATATTTTGAGAAAGTGTGTCGGTAAGAAAATTGCTTGCTCTAATAGGTTATGTACATTTTGCATGATATGAGGAGCGACACCCACACCCTTACTTAAGAGAAAAAGGTAACTCGTGCGGAAATGAAACGTATGATTAGGTTATGAACTGGGTATATTTTTCATAGAACCCCTTCCTGTGTTTTTGTTTTGTTTGAGTAAAATTATAAAAAATATATGGCGCACTTGCAGCAATCGAAATAGCGCACCGCCACAAAAGACAAAAAAATTAGTATGGATATTAGAGCGAAAACAAATACCTAACCGGGCCATATAATTTTTTTTCAACATGGTTCACGGAGAGGAAATTCTGTAATTCCTCCTCCTAATCAAACGTCACAATAACGTGCAACAGTCCACGTATGAAACAAATAAATTGGGATATACGGCATGGTTTAAGCAATCGATCAAGATTCATCTGATCTTATATCTATGCTAAATTATGTTCATCGGCGTCCCCTTTATGAAGCAAATAGAATCTGGGTCGGTGTATGAAAGTCCTTTTTTTCTCGTTATTCCGGTCGAGCTAGTTAATGGACACAAATTATCCAAAAAGTTCAAAGTCTTTTTGTCTAAAGGGTTTGGCCAAGGACCAGCTGGTAGAAAGAATCTTCGTGAACTTAAGTTGTTATGGACCTCCATCGTTACTTTTACATGCTGCGATCGTTTGGCGGTTCAGCCATGCGAAACCGCATCAGTTGCGTTAAAATATGTTTCAAAATTGTATAAATCTGTGTTTTGCTCAAAGTATTTATTATTATTATTATTACAGATCTTAAACCAATTTCACTGTTCTTGTAGTCTCTTTGTGCACAAAAGTCATTTCAAAAGTGATAATATTGCTTGGTCACACAGACCACAAAGGACTCGCTTCACACGACACTTTGACATCCCGTCAAACGATCACCGTTTTAAGTTTGAACGCAACTATTGTGCTTCCAATCAAACCAACTCTGTTGTTAAATCCATATGCATTGATATTGAGTAACCAGAATTTTGCGTTATAAAGGTAATCCTAGAAATGTTGTTCACCACATCACAATTATAGTCATTCTAGTAAAAGTCACTGTTCTTCACCTTTGGTACAATATACTTATCCAAAAACCACTAGTGATTTACTATGTCACATTTCACACCTCCAAATGCAAAGAGATGGTTCTTTACTAGACGTCATTTGCTTGGATTATTGGTGCAAAAGTGGGTTCTAATCGCGATCGGCGTGTAAAAGTCCGATGGCCTTGAATAAGTCATTTCCACTCATAATTCCAGTCGACCAGCTGTAAATGGGTACAGATAATCCAGGAAAGATCAATGCCAATAGGTTTGACCAAGGGCCAGCTGGTAGAAAGGATCCTTAACTGTGAACTTTAGAACCTAAACATAGTTGATTCTTTATTTTTTAACCCATCTCCTAAAACCAGATTTTAATGCACAATAATGTTGCGGACACATTTGCAACAAAAGCGCATCTATGTAGGTAGCACAGTATTTATATCACATACATTTCAGTATCGCATACATGCAGTAATATATAATTTTAAGTGAGTAATGTTTGCCGGGTTTTGACTGCAAAGTGGTAAAAACTGTCACCACAAATCCACTGCTTACCTCATACTAGGGTAATAAGTAGGAGCATTGAAATGACATTCCCGGTTGGTTTTGAGGAGTATACGATTGAAGTTTAAGGCTGAGGTAGGTCTTCTGAGTCGTTCACTTAGATTCAAAGACGGAGATTCCAGTTTGTGAAATTCCGCAACATCATTTAAAGATCCACTACACAGTATGTATCAAAGCGACACAAGCACTTAATATATAAGAAAAAATAAAATAAAAAAAATCAAGGAAACATGGGGTATCACCCTTCTCGTTTCAAAAAATTGTTCAAAGGACTGTCGAATATCCGCCTTATATATAAAATATATCCGGTACAGCTACCTTATCAAAGATAGTGATCCAAAAATGAGGATAAGTATGTGTCAACAACCATCACGGATCAACCAATTTCTAATATGATTGTCGACTATTCGTTATATTTTAAGCGTATGCCCGGTACAGCTGCCTTGTCGAAAAACGGTTGCTTTATATTACTGGACAATTCTGAACACTTCAGACAGCCGTACTTTAAGTCAACACGAAAAAGTTTTCAGTGTGGAACACATCCTCCAATTCACTTCCAAAATTTGATTTTGTTTACAATATAGTCGCATTTCAATACATCATAGGGAATTCACAATATGCTTTTTAAAGTCATTCCATGTTTCTATGGTATTTGTGGTATTTAACCTCGCGGAATATCACCTCTTCTCCCCCTTGGATTATAGTCTTCATATTCTTTACAAGTACCTAAAATATAAACATATTTATTATCCCTATTTCACGCAACACAACTGTATAATGTTATACAACAACACAACTACGTAAGTTATACAACACAACTGCATAAGTTATACAATGACACAACCACGTAAGTTATACAGCAACACAACTGCATAAATTATACAACACAACTGCATAACACAATAACATATGTTATACAGCGACACAACATAAATAAATTCTACGACAACACAATTGCATATATTATCCAACAACACAACTACGAAAGTTATACAACACTACAATTTGAAGACGCATTAGGTACCACACTATGCTTATTAGAACTAAAGTAATAAAAAAAATGGCGAATAAGTTTGAGGAGATGTATTTGTACCGAGGTTAAGTATCAGGTGCGTTTTAGCATGAACGGGGTCGAATTCTGATACAGTTGAAAATAGAAGAAGCTTATCACGGTGGGACCTCTATTCGCTTCTTCAATTGCCACTGAATCGATAAAAACGCACTGGACACCGCACCTTTTTGATTGGCACATTTAAACCGGATAAGAATACTTACATCCTTCTAGTCTCTCTTCTAATAAAGAAATCTGTTCACTGAGTGATGCTATTCTATCAAAGGGCATCACATCCGGATTGGCGGCGTATAGATTAGGGTTGTAAGGATCGAGTGTTGTAGTAGTACTCGGTGTAACGGTAACTGGCTTTGTGGTGGCTTTTATCTCATCCATTACATCCATGGCATGTTTAAAATTATTCTCCATTTTGGTTAAATTTCCCATGAGCATATCCTGAAGAAAATTTTCAAAATTTAACTCTCGTTATAACGAATTTAGTTTTCTTATTAGCAACTGCAGAATCTTAAACATTTAACAAATTTGAGTTAGAAATTATTTTTGAAAAAGAAGATGAAAAAGGAAAAAACATTTAATAGAAATGAATTTTTCTATAGGCTTATTGCTACTTGTGAGAGAGGGCAGCTAAATTAGTTAGGCTGTCATATATTTTCTCTTGTGTTTAAAAGGGGGCGAAACTCGGTAGAACTAGCATGATCGTCAGTTTTGATAATGAGATGTAAAATAAAACGAATTAAAAATAAAAATAAGAGCTCGAAGTTTTAAAAACAAGATGGCAAGGAGCTTTTTTAAATAAGATGGCAAGGAGCTTTTAAAACAAGATGGCAAGGAGCTTTTAAAAAAAAGATGGCAGGGAGCTTTTAAATATAAGATGGCAAGGAGCGTTTAAAAAGAAGATGGGAAAGAGCTTTTAAAAATAAGATGGCGAGTAGCTTTTAAAAACAAGATGGCAAGGAGCTTTAAAAAATAACATGGCAAGGAGCTTTTAAAAACAAAATGGCGAGTAGGATAAATCCTAGTACCTTTTCCTTCTCTAGATGGTTAACCTTCTTCTGTAATTCACCAATAGATTGGGCCATATCGTTCATAACCTGGTGATCACTGGTGTCTGTAGTTACTGGTCTCTTATCTGCACCATGTAACTCAACATCTTCTATGGATCGGACTTTACGGGTCAACACCCCTATGGAATCTTGCATTTCTCTATATTCTTTAGTGCAGGACATACAAACTGCAAGAGAAACACAGTGCATTAGTCAGTTTATACCACGAATCACTCACGGCAATAAGTCTGATAAAGTCCTCACACTTTTGCCTTTGACAAGGACTGAAAAGGTTTTTTCCCAAACCTCTATAAATGACATGTTTCTTTGCTTTCGAGGATCTTCAGATTAGAAACGCACAAGCAGGATCCAGTGAACAGACAACGAAACAGCAGCAGATCTTTACAAGCAAACCCAGAATTGACCCATCACTGTTCCGGATGTATAATTTCTGACTGTACAAATGTTTCGGGTATAAAATCATCATCAGGTCGGACGATTTGGCAATACGGTTTTAATTTCCAAAACATGGAGGCATGAAAATTAGCATAAGAGAATGGAGCAATGCTCCAAATGATACATATTATTGACTTCATCAGTCTAGTGACATCTTACAGGGAATTCTATGGTCGTTATGGAGATTTCCTTGATAAATACACTAAATCTGCTTCTGACATTTTTAATCTTGTTGAATTGCATGATTTGGACCATGCTTTTCTTTCGCAACACCTGATGGTACTTCTCTTTGGAGGAGTCCACTACTCCACTACGAGTTTGCCATTCATTGGACCAGTTGTTTAATTGAGTGAATTTTTTTTTGCTTGTATGTATTTTTGCTACTTACATTTACAACTTTTCATATCAGAATCTAAAGTAAAACCATCAGAACAAGCACATTCATAGCTTCCCTGTTGATTGAGACATTCCTGACTACAACCATGAGATCCAGCACACTCATCTACATCTGAAACAACAGATCAAAACATTCAACGGTCCAGGAAAAACACTGATAAAGAAAGTACATTCAACAAACAACCAAAATAATCCTTTATGGACATTTACTGATAGAGATCACATTAAATGACGAAACACTATTTTATGGTATTCTACTTCTTTGTTTTAATTTTCAACAATTTACTTTGTTATTATGATGCACGCTGTGTTCAGATTTTACGTGATGATGACAGTAGTATACCATAAACTTGTGTTCCAATATGTATGACAACCAAAAGAAGTAATAGAATGTCATAAACTTATTGGTCTCACACAAAGAAGAATGAGCTGGTCCATCTGACGTTCATTGCTTTCTCTTTTTATAGAGAACAATCTTGTCAATGATTAAGTTCCGCCAGTTCCGAAAAAGTCCTGAAGCTCTTTTCACCCAACACATGTTCAACATTTTGTCCTGTTCCATAACATAAACAAGTAGTAAATGCAATCGGGCAGATATTCTCATACCTCGAACATATTGGGGACTCTACGCTGCTTTGAGTCTGAACTGAAGGGCAGCTTCTGCGTGTTGGTGTTGACATTTTTCATTTCAAATGCCTATGCCAATTTTTAAGAGACGATTGTTATTTTCAGGGTTCTTACCTTTAGTACAGTTTGGTCCCATCCAACCGGCTTTGCATTCACATTTATTAGGACCGACACATATACCTCCAACACATCCGTTCTCACATACAGCTAGAAAAGATAAGTATAAATAGCTTTTAATTACAGGCAATGGATGACTATGGTATCTCCCCTAAATATGTTATAGGAGTCGAACGGGAAATGCAAGTTTTTCAGTGTGGTATATTTTGACTATAAATTCTCTATATTGCACAACTGAAGGTTGACGAGGTTGATAGTCAATGGCAGACCTAATCTCGAGCTGCCGCATTAGCATTCTTTTTGCAAATAAATACCAATGGTTGATGATTGAGATACAGTTCTAACAAGCAGTACTGGATACGAATTCATCCAATCTTTAATAGCAAGTTATCTAACCAAGAACCATCCAGCCCATACGAATCAGAATCCAGTCATGCCTTGCAGGTTGTTTTTTTTTTATGAGAGCAATGTTGATCTGGTACTTACGCTTTAAACATCCTGCATCATGAGGTGAAATCCTCTTCCATCCAGGACAACATTTAGGTACTAATCGTAGAGATATTCTCATTCTGAACACTGTTCTGTAGGCTCGTTGATACACGACCCTGTAAATGAAACCGATTTGGTTTATGACCACATCTGTTGGGGTTTCCATACCGACCTACATTCAAAACAATAGCGGTAGAAACACCACTTTTTCCAATCTGAATATGGGTTTCAGATGTATTCCGGATAGAGAGAATTCGGAAATTAAATCCAATCTTTCATTCTAAGCCGAGGGCAAATATTTTTAAGAAAGAAGATTCTGAAGAGCTATATTCACCTAAACCGTGGACAGCGTCCATACCCATCAGCACATCTCTCTGGTGACTGCCTGTGGACTGATCTCCAATATGATTGTCGTACTGGTACAGGTTGAGCTTGTTGTGTCTGTTGCATGCATACATGTCGTCTGAAAATAAAGGGAAGTATATTAAAAAAAAATGTACACACAATATTGCAGTACATACGCTGTCTGAAAAGAGTTTCACGTCCTACTTTTCTGTACCAAATTTGGCTAATGAAGACGGGCAATGCCTTGCAGTGTACCTTGGGGGAAATTTTACCAAAACATGCATTGCAAGACTCCCGGAAATTTTCGTGAAAATGGGTTGCAGATTCATTTCTTTTCAGAATATGAAGCGCGAAACGCTTCGCTGCCTACGCTTTCCAAAAGTTACAAAGGTGCACAGGGGCCTCGTTTTTTTGTATAATTCAAACGACTACACGCTTTTCCCAAGCCAACTCTATAGTTTTTCCACACTTTGACTTTAATATACTTGATTATATTGGTTTGCTGGGGGTAAATGTGTGGTCAATGAGAGAAAGGCTTATTTCGCAGTACATGTATAAGTTATTTTGAAGTTATCCCACACTTTGACTTCAATATACTTGTTTATAAAGGTTTAAACTGGTTTGCAGTGGAACAAAGCTATCGTACACTTTGACTTTAATCTGAGATGCAGTCTAGAATTTAACTCTACTGTTAAGATATGGTAATTACCTCATTAAAACAATATAATTAAGAGTGCACTTGATATAGAATATATGGCTAGTAAAGTGAATCGACCAATGCAGTCACCAAGAGCAGTTTAATTACGTACAAACGTGAGAGTCTGAAACTCTGCTGTTTTTTTTTTTTTTTTTTTTTTTTTTTGAACGATTGTTTGGACACGTTAAAGGGATCGTAAAGAGGTTTTCTAAATATTTTATGTGTATCGGGGTCACTAATAGCATCAATTTGCACCATGCTAATTTTCAGTGTTTCCGATACACATTAAAATTTGAGAAGGATTTAAATTAAGCTCTACCTCATATTTGGTTTTAATGAAGACGAGCAACGCCATGCAGTGCGGAAAGAAAGAAATGGACCGCAAAAGCAAAAGCTTACTCGTTATCGATCGTCCGAATCTGTTCCATGCACAATAAGCCGCAGCCGAGCTTGATTGTTCGGAGGGGCAAGAAATATACCCAGAGGGTCAATGGTATATGTTTAGTTACAGTAATGGAATAGGTCGGTTGTCAGAATTTTTTCAGAGCTCAACCCCCTCCCCCCACTATGGTGTGCACTGGTGCACAATACTCAGAGCTTCGGTTTATAGCCAAATAAATTCATCTGCCGAATCAACCCGTGAAAATTATGCACGATAACGTCTAGTATCACAAGCTGAATATCGCCTTGCTGTCAGAATCTTTCCAACATCATATTATTAACCATATTAAAAGTAATTGCATGTCGCACTTGTACATCAATAAAACACGTTTATCTTAACTACCGATTTAACCTTCACAGTTGAAGTCTATGTCAAATATATAATTTTACATATTTTTACATAATCGGGCTTCTATCTGTGAACAAATGTGCAATTTAATTAAATTCAAGTGTCTTAGGAGACTCGTTATATTAGTTAACGTATGGTTGTATGCCAAATTGAAAGTGAATTATGATAATATGCAAATTTTTACTCAATTTGACAAGAATTCCCTTAATGAAACTATATGTTTTTTTATCGTGGAAGCAGAGGGGCAAGGATTTTTTGTGGATCCATTTACGCATATACCCACAGGTACGAATATGAATAGGAAAGCGGATCAGCATGGCCATGACGGAGAAAATATTTGATGGAAGTTACGAATTAAACGGAGAAAGACTCCAAGGCAAAGCCCATTGCAATTCATGAGCGGAGGGGCAAGTACAATGTGCAGATTGGCGATGGTCTATGGTTTGGAATTGTATTAATGAAATTGGTTGATTTTCAGAATTTTTTCAGGGGGGCAATCAATGTTACACCTCGATGTAGCTACGCGCCTGTACATGATGGCCCAACACATCAGCGTATAATGCTTAGGTCCTTAATCAAGCTTTAAATTTTAATATGGTTAACACTCTTCTAGACACCTGATGCATGTCATAATGACATACTCACTTATTATTGATATACTTCCTTACGTAAAAAGTTCATAAGCTGCTGCCAATGTTTTATCAATATGTCGTTTTGGTTTCGTTTTGCGGTTCTGTTCGTTAGTACTTCGTTTATGGTTTCTCAGCGATGCGAATTTTAATCTCAATATTCTTCCGTTTGCTTGAAACCGTTCCGTTGCGTTTGCGATCCTACTTATTTAATCATCAACGACATAAAACTCCCTTTCTATAAATCCATTTACTTTAAGTTCCATAAGTTTTATAGCAACGTTAATTCAATTAAATCCCCACAATTAGGTTAGAAAAAGCTCCCGTTCTCACAGTCAAATAACATTAAATCACACTTTGTGTTTCTAAAAACCCAGAGAATGCCGACCGAGGTACAAATTTAAATTTCACTTTTCGGTTCATAAAAATGCTCAAAAAATTTGTTAAATAAAATCTGAAAAATCCACAAGGCCAAAGTTAAGTGATTTACCGGTTGTTGTGTTACGGATGATCTAAACTTCTGAACCACTGTTATCAAACTAGTCGCTACTGAGGTGGATCGTTTAAGAGAGAAGTCACTCTGCGATTGCTGTTGCCTACTGAAATTGGCGTCTTTGAAAGAGGTCCAATGTAGCCATTAATGTGGTCATGAAATTTGTGAGTTTTTTTCTAAACTAGATGAACATTGTTAAGTTTGTTTCTTGAAATTCAACTTAAAAACAAAGTCGTCTAAGGATTTGTTGAACAAACAAACCATTTCAGCTACCTGTGTTTCTGACAGAAAGGATTCGAACACTTGGTTCGTCTACGATTAAATAAAAACAAAATGTTTTGACCTGATGAAGTGACAACAGTTTTAGTTTCATGTTGATATTAAATTTCGAGGAACTGAAAGTCACACTTTACACTTTGGGTGATACAAGTAACAAGTTCTACATCGGGCTGTAATATGAAACGTTATCCCCTATTAAGATAAGCTTGTACCGGAAAGTTTCTATACACGAAATGAAACGTAGTGTCTAAAACAAACTTCAAAGGAGGCGAACACTACAGAGAAGACATTTTATAGTCCCTTTTGTGTCGTAACCTTTAGCACGAAATAACCACAAATTGGACATAAAACTGAATAGTTCAACACTTATCATGAGGTTTTGTATGTTGAATTCAACACAAACGTGCCATAATTAAAGCTATTTTGCTCGACATAACGTGATCTAGTACCCAATTGGGAACAATATGGGGAACCCGACAACACAATACCCTTTAATCTGTTTTTGTGTTGATGTAATGTCGTATATTTTCACTTAGTAAATATGATTCTATTTAATTATGAGTAAATATTGGTCACTAATCTGTGGACAGGGGAAATTCGCACGTTTAGGTGTTTTGAGTGAATTCAACTCACAAATTGACTATTCAAAGGGTGAAAAAAAGGCGATGAAAATGAATGGCGACCTTCATTTCTGCACCTCTTCGGGCTATGAGGATGCGCTAACGCACAGTGTGCAACGAGGGCAATTTTACCAGGACAGCGAGATCAACCGACTCCAATGTCGATTTCCAACTGTCGAGGGGAGGGATCTTTAATGTGAACAGTGTACAACACATGGGACCTAGGTTCATTCCAAACAACTAGACGCTTTTTCCATACCATCCATTAGGTAATTGGCAGGGGGTTTAAAAATCCGAAGGTATAATCTTTACCTATGCCGGAATTGAACCATGGGCCTTCTGATGATGAAAAAGCAGATGACTTAGAATGGTGTTGTGATAAATATTGAATCTGATTTTTTTCATTGAGTCAAAACAGGTAAGACCGGGGTTTTCAATCCAGGGTTACTATCACCAAGGGGGTAATTTTCAAACAGACTGCAGGGGAAGAGAAAACCTAAGGAAAAATGACGTAGTAAGGATTTATAATTGGAAGGAACGTGAGTTGCTGTGGTAATGCTATCCATCAAGGATCGACATCGACACATCCATTACTCTTAAACAATTTTTTGTGAGGAAGATGCAAAATCGAAATGAAATGGAGTTTTACGTTCTACTTTTCCGCTCCTTGCTGGATCAGAGCAATTGTCCAGTGGAGAACATTATGTGCTATTTGATTTGCGTAATGGCCTATCGTTGCAATTACAAGTTATTTAAAGGCGTGTACAGAGCTAAATGTGCCATTTGAAGCTAAATTTCAAATATCGCTCTATTAGTTAATATAACGTCGTCTCTTTTGGTCGTTTATCTCATCATACAAATAAGGGAGTTGTGATTTTACGTCAAGATTTGTTTGAAAATAGTTATCTAAAAAATAATAGTATCGTGAAGTCTAGACTAGGCTATTATGGTAGCAATTGTCAGCTCAATAACGCATTGATGATAACAATTGGTGGGAAGACACAGCGGGATCTCTTCAAATGGATTTAACTTTTAAAGGACATAATAAGACTAATTTCATCTTTGTATAGCCGGTCGTTAGAGTAGGTTTCGTATTTCTTATGGCCCCGTCACACCAGAAAGGCGTTTTAATTGAGCTGCTAGTGCGATGGAAATTGACTCAGAGCGTGGATTAGGGACACACCAGACATCGTGCAATTGTTGCCGCTATTCGAGATCGATAAGGTCGTCAGACAAGCGTTGTAACATCTCCTTGAGCAATATGAAAGCACAGTCTGGTGTGATGGGGCTATTAACAAGCGTTAAGAGAAATCGTAAATTAAAAATTTATGTGACGTGTCTAGCATCGAAAAGTACATGCACGCAAGAGAATATATAATGAATTGAAATGTAGTTTATGTTCTACTATTCCGAGCTTTACTGTGCTTTAAAAAAGCCGAACAACGAAATGACGGGAAAGTGATATAAGTTTATTCTTTCGCTTTTCCGTTTCGTCCATAGTCAGCTAGTTTGTCATTGTGTAAACCTTTGAAATACCAACGTCTCACCGGAAAATAAAATGCAGAAAAAAGAATTAAAAGCATGCATAATGCATAACGTTCAATTTAAAAAGCTAACCGGAACAATTAGATGAAGAAAAAAGAATAATAAGTATGCACAAAACACACTGTGAAAACCTCGAAAAATATCAAATCTCACCGGAAAATAAAATGCAGAAAAAAGAATTAAAAGTATGCATTATGCATAAAGGTTTGAATTAAAAAGCTAACCGGAACAATTAAATGCAGAAAAGAAGTTGTATTTTCAACCGGATATATTGAATCATAGTATTATACAGCTAATAGAGGAAACGCATTCGCCAAAACAACTCAGTAAATTAATCATAAGCCTGAAATAGCAACTTTTTTCTTGTCAGTGATGGAAATAGAAACATCCGAAAGATATAGTTTAAAGGTTACACTTAGATAATGGTTTTCAGTCGCGATTCTGAGAGGAAATTCTCATGGCGTTATTGCTGTGAAGTAGCTTCAAAGGGTGCTCTTGACTGAGGTCAGGTGCTATTTTCCCATTTTAGCAGGGCTCGCTCCATGCCTCCGACATGTGTTTCGTTATACAAACCTCACCAGGACAACTAATTATGGAAATAAAGATATCAGTCGCTATATCCTTGAGAGGAAATAGTAATGACACTACTGCTGTGATGAAGCTTCAAAGGGTGCTAAGAGCTATTAGTCTTAAAGGTCGGTGATGCATCATTTCCACTCACTAGCTCATCCCATCCTATCGATATGTGTTTCAGACATAAAGTCCTCATCACGACATCGCTAGTTTTGGAAACAGCTGTCATTCGCGATACCCCTTAAAGGAAATTCTGAAGACGTGACTGCTAATACACCTCCAAAGGGTGCTCAGAGCTGAGGTCAGATGCGCTTGCTATTCCAATCGAGCTCATCCCATTCTGTTAACATGCATTTTGAAGATAAATACCGTCAGGACACGGAGCTATATCCCTTGTCTTCCACGTTTAGATGGAACAATAAAATGGGGCCCAGTATAAGGACAAAGGACAAATGCCCCTCACACTGCACAAACCACACCTCAACTGCGGTTCCCTCATGATACTAGCCGCTGTCCAAATATTTCCCATATTTTCACAGTACATCTCTCATTTCAAAAGCCCAATGAGTAACAAGACAGAGGGTAAAATTCATCAATTGTTAAGTTATTCAGGTTATCTTGTAGATAATGGTATTACATTTTATAATCACAGATAAGTTTATTTCTGGATAGGTTTATTTATATAAAGAAAACACCTGTTCACGTACTACTCAGATTGGGTGTAGTTCCTTGACCAAAGTTCACTGACAGTTTGTGGGCCGATCTGTGGACTGTTCTTTCAGAGTAATAAGCTTATACAGTCAATTCAGCCGCGCCCTCAAAACGTTCCTTTCTAATCAATGTTACTTTTGATATTGATGATGTGATAGTTCTTCCTAAAGCAACTTGCAACAGCGGACATTTTCTCTTTAAAACGCATACAAATGTGACAAAACTTGTGCTTCATTCCTATTTAATATTGCGTCTTGATACCAAAATTTAGTATTAAGTCGCTGTGGCTTAGTGTGTTGGTCGCTTGCTAGCTTAAGTTTAGGTCCAAATATTTTTTAAGCAGTTTTTCCGGCAAGTCAAAGGGTCGACATGGAAAATTGTACAGTCCATTCCTATGACACAAACGCTGAGGCCGCATATTGTGCTATAGGTCCTGTAGTTTGAGATCTCTAAACAGATGGAAATCGCAATTGAGTAGGCTAATGCTACTATCCAGACAATCACTGCATGCCTGGCACTGTCACAACAACAGTAGCAGGGGAGCAGGACGTAACATCAGATTCAATTTCATTTGCAGTTAGGAATTGCAAAAGGCTACTGACACTGTTCAGACAACCTTTCCCTCATTGTACACTGCATGCCGCTACCGATCTTCACTACAACAGCAGCAGAAAAGCAGGACGTAACACCAAATTCCATTCATGTATTTTTCTAATAATCACGTGAGAAACCGATTACATAAAATAAAATGGCAATTTTTCTTCACGCAAAGAAAATAAATGGTTCCATTCGTCTTTCAGACGGTTGTAATCAGCATACATAAATCAGAGTTAATTATTGTGAATTTTGAAATTTAACGTATTTCTTCATCTAATCACATCACAACACGCCAAATAACATTTGTGCTATGTTTATTTTAATTTTATTAGTAAAGTAAACAATCTTTAATTTTACGAGGCTTTTCGATTTGACTAGATTTTTGAAGTTATTATGACATGCGATTATGAGAGATTTTGTAAAATTTAGCAATTGGTAGGTTGACAAAATTTGTCTCAGTAAAATTCTGCTGTCTGAGGTCATTTTACCAATCGTACCTTAGAAACGGTCTCAGAATTTTTTTATGCTAAGCTAATGAGTAATAGTGTTCACTCGAAATTTGAGCCTTCAAATCCATGTGTGTCCAGAATTATCCGTGTTTGAGTCGTCTTTTTTTAGAAACTGTCATATATAAGACATCTAGAGAAAGAGGAAAAAAATTCCTAGTTTAAGATATTTTTGAAGGAATGCTATTTTCCTACATTTCTGATACTATTGCAGATTATTTGCATATATTCAAGACCCAAATCAACTGACTGTCAATAAGGTGCAAAACAGGTTTTCAAGAATATTTCTGTGTGCGGGCCATTTATGACGTTTATTTGCACCTTCCCGATTTCCTATTAAGGGTCTTTTGTTCCTGTAACTTTAGAACATCAGAAAGACTACCCACAATTTTATGGTATACTACTACTACATGTGCTTAGTTTTCAACAATCTACATTGTAATCATCTGGTGAAAATGACAATGTAAATTGTTAAAACGTTGTGTTTAATAAAACTAAGGTGTAGCATACCATAAAATCGTGCTCCGTTATACCGTTAAAGGTAGCTTAAGGATTATTGCTTTTACTTTACTTTCATTCAACTGGGACAGAACGACGTATTAACAACCGAATCAATGCAGTGCATTGTAGATATTTCAACAGCAAACTGCATATTACAGAATGCCTTGAGGGGTGGGCTAGATCGAATTCGTCTGGGAATAATTTAACGCTAGGGGGTTTACAAAATTAAATTCAAATTCTTGAACATCCTAAATTCCCAAAGGCATGAAAAAAGCAATAACAGTACATGATTTGAAGGTGTCTTCTCGCCGTTTTCTCTTCAAATTGAACTAATTATTTAAACTGATTCCATATTTCTTTTCACTGAAAACAGATGGAAATAGTTGGCATGTTTTTAAATGTGTTTTTTATTCTTTAATTTGCTTTTTGAAAAATAAACTTTTGTTGTGATAAATAATAATACTATGATATACTGTTTTGTCGACAGGAAATTACCATGTAATTTTTGAATGGAACTAGAAAGGTTGATAGAAAAATGAGATTTTGATAGACTTTGCCTGTCTGTTGCGTTTCTCAGTTGTCACGTCATATATGCCAACAATAACCACTCAGTTTGAATAATGTGTAATGATTGCATCATCATTTATTGCTTTTGGAGTTGTGTAGATAGCTCGTTGCATTGTGTCAGATTGTGCCTTGATTTTCAGACTTTCGCTTTTGGTTGTCCGCTACAATCGTATTCAAATTGACAAACGCACAAAACATTACAATCCATTTACTGTACATTTAGACCGCTATCATTACTGCAATATGTCACTAACCTTTATTTTATCCGTTAATATAATCAAACATAAAATAATTGGGGATAACGTTTCAGGAAAAACCTTCAACTCCAAAAACATAACATGAAGTAGTACGAAATGAAATCACGAATGAAAAAAAAATAGGAGGACGAATATGCGAAATGTTGTTATATCTGCTGTTAACAATTTCCCGAAAAAAAGGAAAAAGGGAAAAAGAGGGGGGGGGGGGGGGGATGCACATCCGAAATAATTCTGATAACCGACTAATTCTATTACTGCAACTAATATACCATTGCCCCTCCAGATACATTACTTGCTCCTCCGAACAATCAAGTCTGGCTATGGACCTGCTAGTACCTGGTGGTAAAAATCCCATGTACATATGACGTGAAAGAAACTTTGCAGATATTTTCTTTATTATTGGTATATTCTGTAAATGACAGATAGCCATTGTTCGTTTGATACAAACAACTGATGTCGACAAAAAACATGATAATCGTATCAAAACCACTGTTTTAGTAACTGACAAACTATCAAATTAGCACCGTAAAATAAACTAATCAACCGACTTAAGCTCAATGATATACCATTACAAAAAAAATCTGTGAAGAACAAACAAGTCCGTTAACTAAAACTCGCTTAAAGCATGTCAATATCAGGAGCGATCATTCGAAATAATACGCAAGAGTAAAGTTCAATGGTATTTTGTAATACGACTAAAATGCTGAAGATCGTATTTATATAAACCTATTAGCTTCAAGATTCAACAGTACAAAAACTTTGCCTGTGTCTGGAAGTTTGGTTTCAGTGAATAAGTCATCTTTCCTCATTATGCAACTCGCCCCAGCTCTGATTGCATGATCCAGAGAAGATCAATGCCAGGAGATTTAGCTAAGGACCAGCTGGTAGAAAGTTGTTCCCCATGTAAACTATGGTTGCTTCCTTCTTTTAACACCCGTTGCAGTCTTCGTATGAGTTTGTCAACTTGACATTACTTAACTTTATTTGTACCCAACTAATAATAACATTTCTAATATTTTATAATAGATTGTTCGTACTAAAGGTGGGTAAGGAAATGACAAAATTCCACAGATTCCGGAAGTGACGAAAATCCTTAAGAGATTTCGGAAGTGACGCCATTCCCTCGGGCTATCTTGAAACATGTACGTTATTTATCAAGCTTACTTATTGCCATTGAACCAGATCAACTTTCAAATAAAAAATGTAAACTATTTAAAGGAATAGGTTCGCCATCCGTTTGACCGATTTTTTTTAACTAAGCTAATCAGTAATAGTGCTCACACCCCACTGTCGAAATTTTAGCCTTCAAATCCATGCGTGTTCAGAATTATCCGCGGTTGACTGTTAAAATGCCGACTCGTCATTTCTTGAGACACTGCCATATATAGAAAAAAAAACATATATAGAAATAGAAAGTGAAATTCCATGTTTCTAATCTATTTATATGTATTCAAGACGTACATCAACCCCCGAAAATGGCGACCTTGTATCTTTAACCGAGAAACGCGAGAGGTTATTCCGACACAGCTGTAAGTAATTTCAAGTACATCATCAATTTACTAGTGTACTATTACCATTATTACAGTCAAGTAGATGAGGTAATGGTAGGATATATGTCAAATTAGACAATAATAACCCTACTGACCTAATGACCATTACTCACTTAATAAGTTACAAAATTAAGCTAATACTTAAATCGTTAACGTTAACCAAGAATTTGAAATCAGCTGGTACCTAGCAACCAAGTAAACAGACAGAAAAACAAACTGCACCTTATTGGCTAATGGAGATAGTTTGCAATTAGGGAATTCAGGACAGCGGCAATATGCCTACTCTTTCACAACTTCTTTAAAAAGAAGCCATGCATAATCCCTCGAAAATCCTGCTGTATCTTTAGAAGATATGGCGAGATATTGTTTAAAAAGTGAACAAAATCAAGCCAATACTTAAATCACGACCGTTAACCAAGAATTTGATATCAGATGGTACTTAGCAACCAAGGAAACAAACATAATAAAACATTCATAATCCCACTTTACATGATACAAAAATTATATCCGTTCTCGGAACAAAATACAAAACGCTGGGAATGTAGGGAAATCAGGCAAGCGTTCTGGGAACCATTCCAATTATCGATAATCATGCACTGTGCCTCGTCAATTCCAACCTTGGTTCTAGTAGAATTTGAAGACCATTCCATAGCATTTTATGACGACATAGCCCCAAATTTTGGTTTTAGATTCCACACAGTTGCCATAACCAAGAAAACAACAATCTTATTGTTAAGGTATCAACAATGATCAGTATATATGTGGGTCAAACAGTGGTTCTTGTGATAACCTATGACCTCAAATAAAGGTTACACGTGCCATAGGTTTATGGTAACTGCGTTTTAATGGTAAAAATGTTGGAAATATTTTTCTAATGTTTTGATAATAGCCTTTTTATGACCCAAGTGGCTACGATAAAATCTGACTTTTATTATTGTTATCATACCTTCAACGGAATACATGGGTCTACAAATCTGGTACAAGAAGCCTTACGTACTTCAAATTATGAACACTTCTCTGTAAATCGTTTCCTGATTCGTGTAATTGTACATTCATTGTACGCCTATCGTAAAAGTTGTACTGTACACAATCTAATTAAATTTAGATTGCAATTGCTTTTTTATTCACTTTTCGTCCTAAAGACACGCTTTGATGGTTAAAAATAACGTCATTAGAACGGGACTGTGGTAGAAAACGTGTTAGATTACCGTGGAGACAGAAACGTAAATAAAACGGAAACAAGCTCTGATTTGAATTAGATTATACTGTACTAATCACACAGTTTCTAACAAGCATGCTTGTGGTCTTTCGTATACATGTTATTTCGAATTTCAAACAAGTACACTGTACATCTTTCGTAAATGTAGTTCTCTCGTATGGTACGAATTACTGGTACAGAAAAACGTTCATATAAGCAGTACAACTTATGTGCTACGATGCAACTAAGAGGCATTTCTTTTATACCAAGTACCTTAAAGTCAGGCAACCAAAATTAAAGCTCATATAATCATATCATATAATGAGATTATAGCAGGGCAACACATGCGAATACCACAAAAAAAGACGTTGTACAGATGATATTTGCAGATATCAAATGAATGAAACAGCCAGAAATCAAATTTTGTGTTTTTCACAATAAAGACCAGAAACGTTTATAATCTGTAATCTGTATTAGCTAAACCATAACATATGCTTTCTATCCCAAATCTCAATATATATCACTTAACTTTTATGTTTTTAAACAAAACAACCAACGGAAATGATCTTTCCATATTACAAGATCATTGACGATGAATCATATAGACATCTGCATTAGCGTAAGTCGATTTAGAAAAATTGAACCATGAAAGGCGTCTTAAAGAATAATGTGTGGCAAATTGACCAAGTAACGAAAATTGGATTGAAATGGCCCTTCACGTCTTAATTTGTTGCCTGGGCGAGACTGATAGAAACATGCAGTGTCCAGTGATATTCATTTGTGCAGGACAGTACAATATTGTTCCTCTCGGTTCCAAAGGATCATTAAGGATCATGTACAGTTTGTAGCATTCACTATCTCGGCTCTGGGTCTATCTGAGCGCACTTATGAAATAATGTTATATTTTGGTTATAAAAAAGACAGAAAGAAAAAAGGAACAATCATTTCGCGAGGCTAACAATTAAAGTTCAAGATGATACTGTCTGCCAGCTGATCGTTGGCCAAACTTTTAGGCATTGATCTTTCCTGGATAAGTCATATGTATTTACAACTGGAAAAAGGAAAATGACGCTTCTTTCAAGGTATATATAGATGACGTCACAAAATATGCTTTATCACAATAGTGACGTCATCAAACACTTAGTTTTAGTGGAATTGCAGGAACCACAGACGTCTGATTGAAAATTTGAATGGTGCAAAAAGATGCTATCAGTGTCCCTGATACACATACAATATTTAAATAAACCTTTTGAAGATGCATAATATTGGTTAGTATTGTAACTAAAGCACCAAATATCATGCAAATTCTTAAGAACAAAAATATGCAACTTTAAGATGTTTATGAACAAATGTCGAACGTTCAACTCAAGAATTTAACTGAGCTGTTGCACCAGTTTTGATGGTAATCATAATTTTGATAATTTAAAATGCTCCCAAAGTTGTATTTATCTAATACACCAGATATCAAAACTTGTTTTCTAATCTCACGCTATGGCATTATTTACTTTTAATGGTCAAAACAATTTTTAAATTTACCAAGAGTAGATAATTATCTACCATCTGTTTTTAAAGATTGTGACGAACGATGCTGGTATAAGAATTTAATAAAGTATACAGCATTGTCCTCAATGGCTCAACTAGATGGGTGGAACCCGTGGACTTAACTGAGTTGGGGCCCCTCTCCCGGGAAATTCTCTTAAATAAGGACATAGTATTACCCATGGTAAGGCCCCAGCATAAGTTAATATGAACCATTTGATAATATCCTTTTAGTTACTTACTCTGGTACGTAAACTCTTAATTTTGTAATTTTTTTTCAGGAGATGCAGGCCCTCTTAGAGTGGGAGCCCGTGGACTTGGTTCAACTAGTCGCCGTGGTAGTTGATCCACTGATTGTCTTCTCATATACAACGCTAAAAAGTCACCAAATGCGATTTTGTCATGTTTTGGATCATTATATTCGATCTAAGATATCATGGTACGTACGAGCAGTCCACATTAATCTAGTTCCATAGCACTATTAGTTCTTTACATGTTACGCATAATTAATGGTGATCGTGGGTTATAATCTCAATCGGCATGTGAATTCCTATGATATTGAGTAAGTCATAATTTCAGATGACCAAGCTGTAAACGGGAACGAATAATCCGGCAAAGATCAATATCAAGAAGCTTGGTCAAGGACCAGCTGGTAGACATGCACTTAAGTTGTTATCCTTTTTTCTTTCTTTCTTAATGTGTGCAAACAAATACCTTAATTAGATCTTTGCTTACTTACAACAATGAAAATCTCGATATTAAATCATACCAGTATTCATAAATAATCAGATTATTTTATGTAATACTAGAATGTCAAAGACAAAACCTGATCAACAAAAAAATAAAATGTATTGTGTGGATTACTAATGCCTGAAACGTTATGGTACGAAAAAAGAAAAGAAAAATGATTTATGCTTGGTAGTTTTGTACTTTGTTGTTTCAAGACTCCAGTAACGTCAATACTTAAGGTTAATGCATCTTTAAGATCTATTATATTCGGCTTAGTGTGACATTACAATGTTTGTTTTCAAATCAGATAAAATACTAATGCGAAAATAAAAATGTAAAATGCAAGCTTAGCATCTCGACTTGTTGTTCGTCACGTCTCGCCCAACCAATACAGATCAAAGTATATATATATAG